GGTACATAGAATACTCCTGTGATAATATGTGCTATTCCATTCACCTGCAGCCTGACGTTACCCTTTCCCATTACAGCCATGCTTGAGTTGTTGCCTAGCTTCACTGAATCTCTGAAATTCTCATTCAGATCTGAGAAGTATTCTTTCTTCCCACACATATGATTGCTGCATCCGGAGTCAAGGAACCACAATTCTTCGCTGCTGGCTTTGTTCATATCCACGTGTGCCATCAACAACATCTCTTCTTGAGTTTCTGCATAATTGGCCTCCTTCTCCTTGCTTGGGCATTCCCATTGAAAATGCCCAAATTTGTGATAGTTGTAACATTCCACTGTAGTTTTGTCAAAGTTTTGTCTGCCTCTTCCCCGTCCTCTTCCTCTAGAACTTCCACGGCCTTGACCCCTTCCTCTTGATTGATCTCCTTGAGTGATCGTCAAAGCATGTTCTTCTTCAACATGAGCACTCATACGTTGTTCATGCACAAGCAGGCTGCTTTGCAACTCATCAATGGTTAAGGTGTCTATATCCCTAGACTCCTCAAGGGAACATACAACATAATCAAATTTGGGAGTCATAGATCTCAAAATCTTTTTAACAACAACAACATCTCCTTTGTTCTCACCATTTGCTTTCATCTTATTGGCTATGGTAAGAGTCCAAGCAAAATACTCGTTCACCAATTCTCCTGCCTTCATGTGGAGAATTTCAAATTCCTTCCGAAGTGCTTGCAACTGTGCACGCTTGACTCGAGTCGTTCCTTGATATTTTTGTTTCATGGAATCCCATATATTCTTTGTTGTATCATTGTTAAGGATCGTTTCCAGGATTGAACGATCTAATGCTTGAAATAGATAGTTCTTTGCCTTCAAATCTTTCAGCTTCTGATCTTCAATGTTCTTTCTCTATGCATCTGTGAGAACAACACCTTCAGCTGCTGTAGGAATTCCATTCTCTATTAAGCCCCAATATTCCTTTGAACGCAAGAAGTTCTCCATGAGCATTGCCCAATGATCATAATGCCCATCGAATCGTGAGACTGCTGGTTGCACAAATGAACTTTCTGTTGTCATACTTTTGAAGACTGCTGCTTCAAACTTTAATCAGGCCCCTAACATAACAAACTGAGAACAACATTGGCTATTTAGATAGCCTTACATAACAAACTGAGCAAGAATTAAGCAACCCATGTCTAACAACTCCTAGAAACATGCTAAGCTAAAACAAACAAATAATGACACCCTTAAGAATAGGGATTTATTGGACTAAGCAGTAACAAACCAACTCAACATCTTTTTGGTAAAATGAGGGTAAGCATAATTTGATTTTTTTTCTTCTAGACCAATAGAATGAACTGACCTTCTTTTCATGTTTGGAAGGGTGGGCGTTTATTTAATAAACGCTGCCACATAGACACCACTTCAGCATTTAGCCCATCATGATGATCCGTACACATAGAGACTTGCAAAAGTAGGCCTTGATTTATGTGCATATCTACCGCCGGAGGAAGCTTCATTTTAGCACTTTCCCCAACAGGAAAGAGTTTATTCACTGTTTTGCTAATGTGGTGCCTAATGGCACCTAGTGGCACCTAATTGTCAATAAATAGTTTCATACATCCGATAAAATAATACAACCAAAAATAGGGTGAATACAACAAGTGGGTGTTTTTAAAATCAAAATGAACCACATTGATCAACACCCAAACACCTAGGGAACCGTGAGTTTTTTTAACCAAATCGGTTTGGTTGGTTTTTTAATAATTTGAACTGAAACTGAACTTATGCAATTGGTTAAGTGGTTGACCGATTAATCAATGGACCGGTTAACCACAATTCGGTTTTTCGGTTTTTTGTGCAATAACCTTCCACTCAAAATTTAAAAAAGGAAAAAAACCTTCTCTCCATTAAAATCAATTTATATATTAAAATAAATTGATATTAAAAATAGGGTGAATACAACAAGTGGGTGTTTTTAAAATCAAAATGAACCACATTGATCAACATCCAAACACCTAGGGAACCGTGAGTTTTTTTAACCGAACCAGTTTGGTCGGTTTTTTAATAATTTGAACCGAAACTGAACTTATGCAATCGGTTAAGTGGTTGACCGATTAATCAGTGGACCGGTTAACCACAACTCGGTTTTTCGGTTTTTTGTGCAATAACCTTCCACTCAAAATTTAAAAAAGGAAAAAAAACCTTCCCTCCATTAAAATCAATTTATATATTAAAATAAATTGATATAAATTTATACACTTTTTTTCACTTTTATTTTATTGAATGTTCCAATAGGTTATAGACTTATAATTTATGTAATTTGTTCAATTCTTCTAATCTAAAAAGTGAAGATTATAAGTTGTATGTACAAAGGATAGTCATCCTTGATTCTTGTACAACTCTCACTAGATATTTGGTATAAAAATGAATGTTCTCATTTTGTAATCATCTCATAAAACATGAATAAATCTAGATGTCTTCATTTAGTAACAATCCAAAAACAAATGAAAAAATACACTATAAATGAACAAACACACTAATATTTATGCAAAAAAAAATACTTAAAACAAGCTGAAATGAAAATACAAAAACTAAACTATCAGCATTCATTTAGTAAAACAAACTAAACTATTAATCAACATTCATTCACTCATTCAGTAACAATCCAAAAAAGTGAAAAAAAATACACTATAAATGAATAAGCTGAAATGATAATACAAGCTGAAGCCTGAAGGCATGTATATTTATGCAAAAATAATACACTAAATAATATTATGCAAAAAAAAATACCTTAAACAAGTTGAAGGCTTGAAGTCAAACTTGGACAATGAACACACTGAAGTCGTGGCCAATTTGTCGGTGTCAGACTGGTTGCTTTCACCTAAACCTAAAGTGAGAGGTGGCGGAGATGATAGGTGTCGCTAGAGAGGGAGTAGCTGGCGCCTGGCTTTGGTGGTTTGGTGCTTGCCGGTGACCGGCGTTGCTGCTTGGTGGTTGGAGCAGAGCGGCAGAGGAGATGACATGCAAGAGAGAGAGAGTGAGAGAAATAGTTCTCAGTTCTGGGCCTTCTAGCGTGGCCATAACAGAGAAGGGAGGGGGAGAGGCTGTCAGAGGACAACTGTCGACCGACACCGACGTCGAATGACAGAAAATGATGTTCGGCGCTGGAGGAAAGCAAGGGGAACTGGGGAGGAAGACGAACAAGAGGAAAGCAAGGGTTTTCAGTTTTGATATTAGCCTCTAGGTATCGAAGAAGGGGAAAGGGGAAAACTCAAAAAGTCAAATGGTGGTGGGTTTATTTCGATTTAAAAAATAATAAGGTAGAATGGAGTTTTGTTTAATGGGTATTAGAAAGATTTGTCTTCAATCAAAGATTTACCAGTTGGATCATGTAGTGGCATTTCTAATGTGTCTTACCAAATTCTGGTCAATGTGGTAGTCCTAGCAAAGTGATTAAGCCTACTAGGGGTCTCCGAAAGGGTGACCCCCTGTCCCCATATCTATTTCTCCTATGTTTTGAAGTTCTATCAATGGCTCTGACTCATTTGCAAAATGAAGGCTCATTCTCTAGAATTAAAATTAACAGTGTTTGTCCTGTAATTACCCATCTCTTTTTCACAGATGATTCCTACATCTTCTCAAAAGCCACTTTAGCGGATGCAGGGTATATAGTGCAGGTCTTGAAACATGGGGAGGTCTCTGGTCAAAAGATGAATCTCTCTAAAGCTGAAGTTTTCTTCAGTCCAAAGTTGCATGACAAGTTTAAAAAAATTATCTCAAAAACTCTAAAAATAAAGTCAGTTTCAAAGCCCTCATCTTATTTAGGCCTTCCACCTATCATGGGTAAATAAAAAAAACAGAGCTTTTCAGCTTCCTTAAGGATAGGTTAGATCAGAAAATAAGTAACTGGAAAGTGGTTGGACTTTCCTTAGCTGAGAAAGAGGCTAATCTGTGCTAACTTCAATCCCGGCTTATGCAATGTCTTGTCATCTACTTCCTAAGGATTTATTTAACCACCTAGCCAAAAATCAAAGAAAATTCTTTTGGGGTGAAAGTGCACAAAAGAGAAATTAACTAGGTAAGTTGGAAAACTTCATGTAAAAGCAAACTTTGTGGAGGCTTCGGGTTCAGGGATCTTCATGCCTTCAACCTTGCTCTCTTGGCCAAACATGCTTGGAGGTTTGTAGAGAATAAGTATAGTCTTTGGGCTAGAGTGGTGGGGGCTAAGTACCTTAGAGGGAAGAGTTTTTGGTCTGCCAGAGCTCCTTCGAACAGTTCTTGGGGTTTTAACAGCTTACTAACAGGGAGGGACATCATCAAGGAAGGTGCTTTCTGGAATGTTGCAAATGGTAATAATTTAGATATAGTTGAAGACCCTAGCTTGGATTCCCTAGAACTCCCTTTATTTGGTGGAGAAGACAAACTTATGTGGCTTCCTAACAAAAAGGGCAAGGGCGATTCTCAGTGAAATCTGCCTGTCATCTAGTAACTCAGCAGTTAGAGTCAAGTAATGGGAACTCCCTCCAGCATGTACTTCATCCTAACCCTAACAGGTGGAAAAAGTTATGGTCCTTGAACATCCCCCCCAAACTGAAGATTTTCTTATGGAGATGTTGTTTAAACAGCTTGGTTGTGAATCGAAGTGTTGGAGACACAAAAATTTTAGCAGAATGGTATATGCCCTCTATGTAAGGAGAGCCCTGAAACAATCATGCATACTTTGTGTTTATGCAATCATGCCAGATCTACGTGGTTTGGCTCATGGTTGGGTTTAACCTCTTCAAGCTTCTTCCATTGGTGGGATTGGTGGTTAGAGCAGGAGAGCTATTGTGCTCCAAATGAATCTCAAGTGGTTGTCTTTTCTGTTTTCTTGTACTGTATCTGGAAAGCAAGGAATGCTTCTGTTTTTAGTGAAATTACTCCTAACCCGAGGCTTACAATTATTATTGCTATCAGGTGGATGAAGTGCTGAAAGCTTCCCTTCAAGGATTAACAGGTTGTTCACCTAGGTTGACTCAGAGATCGACCTTGAACTCAATACAGATGGCAGTTTTACTTCTAATAGCAGTGGGTATGGATTTTTGTTTAGGAACTCAGCTGGATTTTTTTATTTTTTATTTTGGCAAGTGTGGCAAATGCAATCTAGTTTCTGCTCTGTATGTTGAAGTCTTGGACATAAAACAAGGCTGTTAATCTGGGTTTTGTGACTTTAATTGTAGAAAGTGACAATTATCTGCTATTAATCTGGGTTTTGAGACTTTAATTGTGGAAAGTGGAAATCAGTCTGTTATTAAAACTCTAGAAGCAAAATCTTTTGATCTCCATCCTCAGGTGTGGAGTTTGCTGGATGATATTTACAGTCTGTTGCCTAGTGCTAATTCTTTCAGGCTAACAATTCGGCTCATTTGCTGGCTGTCAAACGGAGCCCATGGTTTTGTAGGAAGCTGGTTCCTTCGCTCATGATGGATTGCCCCTCCTAGGGGTGTTGCCGTGTTGGTCTTTTCATTTGTTTGTTTGTTTTTTCTTTCTTTTCTTCTCTTTCCCAGCTTGTAAGTTTTTCTACTTCCATACCCAGAGAAGGGCATTGTCCTTTTATAGTTACCGAAAACAGTTTATCAAAACAATGAACAAAATGATGCCACGTGTACGTTGCGGGTCATCTCCCAATTCCTACACGACGTTGACGTACAGGAAAATCATTCTCATTTCCTACGAGGCTACGATCCCCCTTCATTATTTTATTAATTTTTTGTTGTTTCAGGTGTCCCCCAACCTTGCCAGCGAGAGGGGGGGCTCTGGCTCTTGTCCGTCTGAGTTCTGACTTTCTCTCCATGACTGATGACTTGTCTTTCTTTGGTTGAGGGGAGAACTGTGAAGAGAGCATTTCCATAAATTTTCAGAAATTAGTTGCCCAATAGCCGGCTAATGGTCAACAGAAAGAACAGAGACTACAAGTGTACTGCTCTGCGTGTCTAAGCTCTGAAACAAAGCCGACAGAAGGCCTTCCATTTTAACACAGACAAGATCTTCAACTACCCTTTTTCTCGTTCTTCCCAATTCTACATATATATTCGTTCCCACCTATTCACCTAAAACTTCATCTTCCTCTCTTTAACCTGCTCCAAGTCAGCTTCTTTGAATACCCACCTTCCTGATTCCAGGCATCTCTGTGTACGTTAATCTCTACCTCACTCCTCTCTCTATCCCCTGCAATCAACTACGGTTCTGTTTGGTTCTTCATGTTCAATCTGGGTTCTCATGGAACTGTCTTCCGTTGTTGATTTTCTTATTGTTTATCAGTTTCTTGCAGTTATTGATCAATTGAGATTGTGTTAGATGTTACTGACATAGTATTTGAGTTTGAACCTTGAATGGGGGAATTTCTTTTGTTTTAGGGTATGTTTTGCTTAAATGTATTCTTGGTTTTCGTTTAGGTTATGTTTATTTTTCTCTTTGCTCAAAATAGTTCTTCTATTGTTTACTTGGATGAAAAGGTGCAATAGCATAACAGAGTATTACACTTTTGAATCGTTCAGCTTAAGTAAGCAATGCGATAGATAAAGAAAAATCTACACTGGGGTTCTGATGTCTTCAGCTTTAAGAGTTATGGATTGGGATGTTTGTTTGAGTTAAAATGTCCTCCATGTTCTTTATGTTGCGTGTTTGTATAATTGATGGTAATTGCTACCTTTTCTTTTAATAAATTTCCTCCCTGTACTTGTAACAGGTACTGCTGAATGAGATTGGTCAAGAGGGATTCATTAGCTACCATGCAAATTTGTAATTTTCAATTTGGTTCAGAGAATAAGGTTTAGATATTTAACAACCGTATTGGGATCGCTTCAAGAAAGCAAGGATGGCATTAAATTATCTTTCATAAGCATGGGCATGGTGGTTGTTCTTACAACCTTTCCTCATAAATAATTGGGCGAAGGAGCTTTTGTTTACTGCCTACTCAGATTAAGTCTCTTGGTTAATTGTTTGTATAACACTATGCCATTTATTCAGAGGCTGTATGAAGCATGCAAAGTGTCTTTCTCTCCTAATGGACCAGTTTCAGACGAAGCTCTTGAAAGAGTCCGGGTTCTTTTAGGTGGGGTTAACAGATTTTGTTGCCCTTTTCTTTTTTCTTGTTGTTTTATAGTTTGAAATTTGAATGTACACAATGAATTCTATTAAGCAAATTAATTATTATGATTTTTCTCTTATTACTTGCTTGTGCTATCCATAATGATATTGTGTTTCCTTACCCATATTCTAATTCAATCCAAGTAGTTGTCTAAAGGATATCCTGAGTTTTAATGATGGTTCATGGTTGTTAAGGTCATGGCAGATTCAAGTAGTGGCCCCTTGCTTTGCTTATACACATGACTGGCCTTGTGCCTTGCACCTTCGGATCTAGGAACTCCGGAAGCTTTAGTTGCATTTCTCATTTCTAAACCACTGAGAATAGTCCAGAAGTTGAAGTGTTCCTTGGGGCACGGACATGGAAAGTTTATGGCATCTTATCAAGAGATATTTCTGTGTTTCAAAGTTAAACTATAACATTTCTCTGGTCCTCTAGGTTTGGTAGGCTTAGCGAGAGCAAAGATCCTCCTTTTTATTTTATCGAAGGCAATTAAACTGTTTGATGATCTTGGCTATTGGTGTATCATGGTGGATAAGCAAGTATTAACACCTCAAGGTGTAAGTCGGCCATGCACAATCATCTATGTATCAAAATCTGCTCTCAATCAAATAGGAGCATTTAAATTACAAGGTTACTTGAAATACAAGATTCTTCTGATACAACAGAACCTATTTCTACTTAAATACTGTTGTCTATTGTGCTCCCTGTTTATTAATTTTTTTGTCTCTGTATTCCTGTTATAAACAACATGCAGCTCTAATCAAATGGAGTATTTAAATTACAAGATTACTTAAAGCATAGACCAATTAAAAAAGATTACTTGAAGCTCGGGATATTTGCTATCTGGGAAACATTATGGTTTTAGACTATGAAATTGCTTACATCAGAATATGTAAGGTTCATGGTTCCAAGAGCATAAATATAAGATACAAAGTTGATTTATATGTGCAGTTTCATCTGATAAGTTCCTTTCTATATTATTTATGTAGAAAATACCTATTTTTTTGTGGATGTTGAACTCAGGGAAGATCCCTTCTACATTGTTGAAGATCTGGAAATTCTTATTTCTGATGCATCTCATGCTGGCTGTAGCAAATTTGAATCTTAAGAAATCCAAATGTAACAGTACTCTTCAGATATCACGCCTACTCTTGAAGTTCTAAAGTTTCTCTAGGTTGCCTCTGTAATGGTTTATTTTATTATGATGGTTTTAACAATATGGTTTCCATTTCAGATACCATCAGGCCATCTGATGTGGGTCTTGAACAGGAGGCACAGTTGGCACGTGCATGGAAAGGCTCTGCACATGGAACCAATGGAAAGAAGGGACGTAATGGGAGTCACCTTCCTCCAATCAGATACCTACATTTACATGAATGTGATAGCTTCTATGTAAGTCTTAAAAAACATGCTTTGATATCAGTTGATAAGTTGCAATTGGTTCCAGTGGAGTGAAATGAAAATGACTTGCTCAAAAGTTAGAAGTTGATTTGTAGGGCTTCATGATGTGCCAAATGTTTTGTAATTCTTTTCTTTTCGTTTTTTGGCAGATAGGAATATTTTGCATGCCACCTTCTTCTATCATACCGCTTCATAATCATCCTGGAATGACTGTATTGAGTAAGCTTCTGTATGGTTCCCTGTATGTGAGGTCACTTGACTGGCTTGATGTACCTGGACCTGCTGATTTATCAAGAGGTATGCTTTTCTGTTTGCTGCAGATATTTTTGGTGCCTAACAACATTGAGAATATAACTGCTCTTTTTACAAATTACAATCAATCATAAAGAAATTCTTATCCACCCAAAGGCTTGAAAGTTGCCACTTTAATGAGGAAACTATTTATTCTTCACCCCTATCATCCATAGAAGAGGTTTTTCCCTTTTTGTTCCACCAAGAACTTCATGCTTATTTCTCTCATGTATTATTTTTGAATGTTGTTCATCTTTAAGGATAATGGTTGTATTCAGTTGATTACTAGATTATGAGCTTCTTATTGTCATCTCCCATACTTCAAATTACAATCAACCATAAATAGATTCTTATCCACCCAAAGGCTAGAAAGTTGCCACTTTAATGAGGAAACTATTTATTCTTCACCCCTATCATCCATAGAGGAGGCTTTTCCCTTTTTGTTCCACCAAGAACTTCATGCTTATTTCTGTCATGTATTACTTTTGAATGTTGTTCATCTTTAAGGATAATAGTTGTATTCAGTTGATTACTAGATTATGAGCTTCTTATTGTCATCTCCCATACTTAGTGTGCCTTTCCTTTTAATCTAAATCTTTCCTTGTAGGATGTATAATGGGATGCCAATTACATGTGTACTAGTTGTGCCTATGGCCAAGCATCATTATTACATTTTGTTTTCTGTCTTTCTGATGAATAAAAATACTGCCTAAGAGAGCTGCCTGATGAAAATCGTAGGCTGTAATATCACTGTCATGTACTGATGTAGTGATGCCTGTTGGCCCTGTTCTGGTTGCTGCTATCTATTGTATTGAGAAATGTACAAATGTGTACTAGTGTGATATCAGCAAAAACATGCTAACTTCCATTGTTACATCTGCAACTAACTGAAGTATGATCTGCATATATTATGCCTGCTATTATTAAGGAAGAAAAGGTAAAAAAAAAAAACTAAATTGTTATTTGCAGTCTGACCTATCTTATAAATTGTTCTAAGAACCTTTGTTTAACTATGTTCCAATTCTTGTGTTGTGATAGAGCTTTATATCGAGTATATTCAATTAATACAGGGACTTTCTATACAGTGTGCGATGCATTTTGTCATTCATGACATTTTGCTACAACAGGCAACCAATTAGCATTCTATTCATTATCACATGCAT